AAGGCTTCCTTCTCGTCTTTTGGGTGTCTATCACTGTGAGGACTCTCTTCCTCTCTCATGAGGGAAGCCTACAAGCATTTTGAAGAAAACAAAATTATTTGCTTTATGGATAATTTTTTTACTTCATATTATTATGATTACTTATCTGAGGATGGAGGACATACTTTATTAGGTTCTTCAAAATTGTGAATTGGCTGCACAAGGAAGTAGGAAAAAAGAGGAAGTAGAAAAAGATTTTTGAAAAACTTTGACTAACTCACAGTCTCATGCCAAAGAGAGGGAGTATATTGCTTGACAACAAAATGAGGACCGTTGTAATGGTGGGTGGGGAAGGAAGACTAGAAGCTAAGCATAGTTATTTTCTTGTTGCTTCTGTTCTTTTATTTGTCGAATGAAGAACAATCCAAAATTTTAAAGATTAGATAGTTGCTTTAAAGAGAGTTCTTGAAATAAAGTTATGTTCTAAAAAGAAACTAATTTAGATTGCATAGAATTGTATATTACTGTTACTGTGGTCAATGATGCATTTTTCTCGATATGTTTATGACAATTATCATGTTATTGTTGGATTGTAAGTCTTGCCTACTTTTATATCCTGTACACAGTATTCCATTTGATGTAAATTATGCTAAATCTGGTTTCTCTTATTAACAAGTTGAGGTTGCCCTTTTCCCCCCTGACCTGACATCTTTTATATGCATGGCTTAGTATATTATTCATCTGTTACTGTGAGATAACTGAAATTTCCTTTGTCTCTTCAATGGAAGCTTGGAAAATGATGTCTTTTCCTATGTTTGTCGATTTGATATTCTGATTGTCTTCGGAGGCATCAGTTGCATGTATGTTTCCTGAAAAGTATATTTCTACGCTTGCGTACTAGTAGCATATTTAGCTTGTTGAAACTTTTACATGCATATGCTGTGAATTTGATATTATAATGTATTCATTTGAAATATACAGATGAAATAAATTTTTTGATTATTGCCACATTTTTAATAATTCAACGACATAGGATCTCACATCTCTCTCTGTGATCCCCCCTTCTTTCCCCCCTTGTGCAGTATATAAGACCCGGTACAGCAGCACCTGGTGCTCCAACAGTTGGTCCTCCAGGTCAAATTCGTCCCCCAACAATGGATTTTATTGGTGGTCGTGGGAGAGGTGACTGGAGGCCTGCAGGCAGAACAGGCTTTCTTGGCGGACCAAAAGGTTTCCATTCTGGTTTTAGGCCTGGATTGTCGAATAATTCTTCACGCGCTTTTGGTGGTGGATTAGATTTCACCCTTCCCTCATACAAGTAAGATCAATATGCTTATAAATACCTCAGATTTTCTTATTATTATATTTCCTTATACTGCATGGATTTTTTTAGATAATTGGTGTTGGTAGTGGTGGATCCAAAAAAAATTTCTTAGAGAGGAGGACGATAAATATCTATTTACCTAAACGAAGATGGTATACTATTTTCAAACAGGATGAATGAAAATGGGCTACTAATTTACAACTGCTAAATTCAAATAGCTTGAAAACTAAAAGTGGGGTGCAAAATTTTTAAATGGCCAAAATTTCAAATAGACCCTATTAGTAATTTATTTTTAAAAAAACGATCCCTTTGAGATTAATTGTCATTTTTGACCTAGTTTCATCCACATGTTTGAAATTGGCTCGAAAATGACAAATAAAATTCGAAAACTTCACGGGATTTAAATCCTGTGAAGTTTAGTGTCTGATTAACCACGCTAAACTTAACAGAATTTTAAATCCTATGAAGTTTTCAAACTTTATTTACCATTTTCGACCTGGTTTCAGCCAGGTGGCTGAAATCAGGTCAAAATGGTAATTAAATTTTAAATGGGTCGAATCTTTAAAATAAATTTCTAATAGGGTTGATTTTTAAAAATAAATTTTTAATAGGATCTATTTTAAAAATTTGTTTTTTTAAACCATGGGGACAAATCGTATTTGTTGAAGACTTAAAGTGTAATTTATAGATTGTTTGGGGTGCAACTACACCCCAAGTCAATACTATGCAGCATGAGGAAACAGTGGATTTGAAATGTGATCTAACTCCTGTGGACAAGACATCAAATTCATGTCAGGTTTTGGCTCAGGTTGGCTTCTTGGTAACCACTGGTTTTGGGGTTCAGATTTACTGTATACAATGGGTCCTGCCATATGCTACCTCATCATAAGATTGCAGTTGGGTTCAGTTCTTCATTAAGTTTTGGTCCAATATTATAAAAAGTGAATTTAATTATACATATAATGTATTTTTTTAACATTTAATGATAAGCTAAATGTTAATATGAAAAAAACTTATTTAATAGTTTTCGGCATTTTCAAAAGTTTTTTAGTATAAAATATAAAATTTTTAGTTTAAATATTTAAGCGAGTACCATATAAGTATTAGGTTAAAGCAGTGCTATAAGTTATGGATATCTACTAGTGAAAAAATGTTCGAATTATTTAGCTTTCTCTAATATTATAATATCGGGTACATATGCACATGCAATACAATGTATAAGCACAATACATTATTACTGCTTCAGATAGAATAATGATTATTCTTAGGGTCTAGTCAAATTCAAGTCAATGTTGGTTTTCAGAATACATATGCCATCGTATGTTCGTATTAATTAGGTCAAGGTGGGACTGGTTTAGTTTGATCTATATCCAACTTGTAAATTCTGTCACGTTAGAAGTCTATTCCACACCTCATGGATGAAAATTCATGACCAGCTCGAAATCAGCAAGTAACCTGATAGTGTCCTGATATAACAACTATAACAAACTTTTATCCCAAGATTTTGGAGTTGGCTACATGAATCCTATTTTCCATTCAGTTTCATTTAGGACCATCTCCTTGTTTAATTATAATACTATTGTATCCTTTCTAACTGTGTGTAACCTATTCGCTTAGGCCTACCTCTAATCCTCATGGCTACATTATTTATAATCTTATTATTGTCTTTCCTAGTTGGTGCATTTTGTGGTCTCCTTGCACATGGTCAAATCATCTCAATCAATTTCGTCCCACATTATATTAGGTTGCAACAACCTCTGACCTCCCAGGAATGCACTCAATTCTTGTTGTGTATATTCATGAGTTAATTGTAACATTCTCATTTCTGCTACACTCGTTTTCTCCTCGTGTTTCTTAATTGTCAAAACTAGCTTTAAAATTCTGATTGCTTCTTTAATACTATGATTATGTCTGAACCATGTGTGGATGAAATAAAGGTTTCTGTACCCGTAGCACGACCCTTCAAAAAGTTAAACTTTGGTTTCTCTAGGGAAATTAACGAAACATGGCATGATATGTTTATAATTTTGGCTTTTGTCTAACATTGATCAGACTTAGGAAGTTAGGATGGGAAATATCTCCTTTTGTTCTGGTACAGTACTCTATTACATCATATCCTGTTGTATCACTTACTGATAATGTCTTTCAATTTTTTTTGCTTCTAGTAAGTTACCTAAGATTTGTGCTTCTAATCAAGTAAGTGTGGTCTCTTTACATTGTTTTACTCATCAAGGACTTGTAAGATATGTTGTTTAACTGTATAAAGTGATAAAGTATGCAATAATTCATTTGTTTAACATATCATCTTGGGCTAATAAAAATAAGTTGGATCATGCTTTTCTTTGGGTTTTGCAGAGAAATAGGAAAAATGGTCGGATATTATTCATCTAACCATAACCTCTCTTAAGTAGAGGTTATGAGGATATTACAAAATACGTATGAGATAAAATCATATCTAACCGTATCTCACAACATCTTAACAATATCTCATAATATATTCTTGAGCACTCCCTCTTAAGCTGGAGCATGTATATCATACATGTCCAGCTTGTTACAAATAAAGTGCACACACACTAATCTATGATGATGCTTTAAAAAACTTAAAGTAGTCTTGATCTTTTTATTTTTCACTTGGACATCTTCAAATTAGTTGATCCCCTCTAGGACTCCACCTATCAAATAATCCTTGACGGATCCAACAACAAATGATCATTTCCAGGATCCAACAACGAATGATTCTTTCTTGAAGGATCTAATAACAAATAATCCTTCTTTAAGAATCTAACAAACAAATGATTATTCCTTGAAGGATCAAACAACAAATAATCCCTTTTTAAGGGTCTGACAAACAAATGATCCACGAGGTGAAGTTGATTTTGGGCTCGGGCACAGGTCGATGAGGGCAGATAAGAGTGGAGTCGGCTTTGATTGGAGTGGATGGTGAACCAGTAATTTGCGGCTAACAATTATCGGGGGATATGAACAGTACTAGCACATGTATGAATAGTAACTGACAAATAGTAAATCAATAGATAAACTGTACTTGGTGAACAATATCAGGTGGATAGTAATTCGATGTCGAGGCCGCTGAGGGGAAGTTTTCAGGAAAAACCCCTCGACGGCTCGATGTAGACAATGAAGAAAGATGTCTCTCTAGGGTCAAGAAGATGGCTTTGATACCATATAGAGAAATAGAAAAAAGGCCCAGATATTATTCATCTAACCCTAACCTCTCTTAAATAGAGGTTAGGATAAAATAGGTATGAGATAAATCATATGCAATGATATCTCCCAATATCTCAACAATATCTCATAATATTTTCCTTAACAGGTTTCTAGTTGAGCATGTTTTGGATGTCTTGCATTACAGATGTGCAAAACTTAACTGATGAAAAGATAGTTGTTCCAGTATCAGTAACTATGATTGTGATTGCTTTGATGCCATAGAATTTTTTTTTATGAAGCCAAAGCCCACTTGTATCATTAGATGAATTCAAGTTTAGGGCTAAATTTCAACTGTTATGCTTTCTTGATGTACATTATTAGCCCATAGCTCATCACCTCAAGCTTTTGGCTAAAACAATTATATATCCAGGAGGTTGCGCTGAGAAGTCACTATTAGCAATTTATAAATGTTATTTACCTCCATTTATCCTGCCTTTCCAATTAGGTCACATTTATGATGTTAACCTTTTCATGTGCCTCGAAGTTACAACTGAGGGTAGGTGTCAAGTGTTGGATTGTTTGATAATAGATTGGTAGCCCACCACTTTCTTTTTGGGCTGAAGTGGTCTTCAAACACTTTGAAATGGCTGTTATGGTAGCTGCTCAAGAAACACATGCTTGCTTTTATTCTCCTCAATATAATTGTAGTTTATTCTAATAAACTTTATTTTCTAAATTTTGGTTTTTAATATTTTTCAGGACAATATTTGAGGTTGACATAGAAAGTTTTGAGGAGAAACCTTGGAGACATCCTGGAGTTGATATTTCAATTTATTTCAATTTTGATTTGGATGAAGACAAATGGAAAGAATATAGCAAACAATTGGCAAGTCACTATCTTATTGTCCATATGTACTGGAGAGGAGAAGACTGCTTTGTTTTTGTTAATTTACGTTTTCTAACATTTAAATGTGCAGGACCAACTTCGTCTAGAGTCTACCATGCGAAGCAAAATCCATGTGTATGAGAGTGGGCGATCAGAGCATGTAGGGATCTGCAAACGCTTACCTGATATTCTTCGTTAAACTATCAATACTAATACTCATTCTTGTCAGGAGTTTGACCCAGATTTACCTCCCGAGCTGGCGGCTGCTGCAGGTCATCATGATATTTCTGCTGATAATACGAAGCATGGAAAGCTAGATCTTGGGCATACTGATTTGCATGTTCAGGGAAGAGGTCTCCCATGCATACAAGCACCTTTTGTACGTCTTAAATATTTAGTATTCTTTTGCCTATCACTTGTGATATATATTTTTGCTTTACGTCCCTCTCTTCCACTTTCATGTGTTTTACAGAATGTTTTACTTGGGTGCTGACGTTTACTTTTTACAATCTTGCTATGAGTTGCAAGTTTATTTTTAATTGGTTCATATTGTATCAGCCACCTGGTAGAGCAATACCGGTTGAAATTGGCTGTGGTGAACGGCTTCCCTCGATAGACACCAGGCCACCACGTGCTCGTGATGCAGATGCAGTTATAGAGGTAAACTAAGCACATACGCTATAGAAAAACATTACTTTAGATTTTCATGCTTCTGGCGGATAAGTGGCTTTCATGCATTTGGCCACCTGTTATTCGTTGCATACTGAAAATATCTGGGCACACAGATTATGTTGCAGGGTTGCAAGGAAGATTCGATTGTTCATGATAGTGCAATAGAGAAATCTGAAAAAGATATGTGTGGAGAAGAGCTTGCGGGTGTCAATAATGCTGATGGCGATAGACGCAATGGATCTGAAAGCTATGATCGCTTTGCCCAAAGTTTTGGTGGTCATTGTGGGGAAAGAGGGTCAAGAAGGCTTCAAAATGAATCTGAAGATAACTCTATACCCCTTCCTCCAGAGTCACCTCTTCGCCATAAATCTGGTTCTAGATTACGGAGCCCATTGAGTCCTTCTAGATCTTTTGGTACACATCGTGCAGCAAGGTATCACATAACTATGACCAGTTGTTTATGTTTAATGCTTTGCTTTGCTTTACACACACGATGAGATTATTCCCTTGGAGAAAAATGTGACTGATATCGTGTGTGAAATTATTTACAAAAAAGTGTGACTGGCTAAATGTGTATTCAAGTTCAGCACCACTGATTGTGATCTCTTATCCATGATACCCAATTAGTTTATGTTTGCTCTCTGATGTCATTATTAAGTCTTTAACCATGATATCTACCTTTTCAGTTTTCACCCTCTACACCTTTTTGATTGTCGATTAATTTGTATTTATTTCATTGTTTTGTGTCACTCTTCTTTTGTAGCATATGTTGTACATGGTTATGCAAATTGTATATTTCTAAACTTTATTTTTTATTACTCTTGGCATTTAAAATGGATTTTTTTTAAAACAAAAACCCCCTTTAAAATACCCACATTTAAAGTTCAATTAATGCAGAAACCACCTTTAAAGTGATAGCAATCAACTACATTGACTTCTTTTCTGGTGAAATTTCTATTAAGTCCCCAAAATACCCTTAAAGCACACATGCCAGGTATGTGACACGTCTTCTCAAGTAAAGTTGACCTCTTTTTTGGTCGAGTTTTTTTTTAAGGTCATTTGGGGATTTCAGCTGAAATTTAACCAGAAAGTAGTTCAAGATGGTTGATTGTTACCGCCTTACTGAAACCCCTCTAAAGGTGGTTTATGTATTAACTGGACTTTAAAGGTGGTTTACGTATTCTCGCCCTATTTTAAAGGTGGTTTCTGCAAAAAATATCTTCTAAAATATTTGTACTGTGGCATGTACTGGATAAAGCATTATTTGTAGGTTTACCATAGCTCTCTGATTTTACCCGTGAAAAGGAGATTTGATAGCTTTCCTAAGAAATGATTAGATACAAAATATCCACAACTTGCGGAAGCTAAACACATTGCTTCTCTTGAAAAGCAGAAAGCTTCCCATGTTCTTTCTTCTGCTCCCACTTTTTGCACCCTGGTCTATCACACATTCAAGTGCTCAAACTGAAACTACAGAAAACCTCTCTTTTTTTCCCCTTATTTGTCTCATCTATCAAAATCTTAATACTCCCCTTGTTTCCCTTTTTTCGTGAAGACCTATCTCTGGAGCATCTAATATAAACTTAGGCATCCCACTTAGTTTGCCCGAATGTGCTGTAGTAAGCATTTACCATTCAAGTCAAATAGTTTTACTATCGAGTCCACATTAGGAAATTAAGATGTGTACGTTTTAATGGATGACACATGCATAACTAAAAACATCACCAAAAACACTCTTAACATGCTGCCCATGCTCTGCATTACCCAGTTTATTATGCTTTTCTCTCATGCATTTCTTCATTCATTCTTCATATTCTGGTGTCTTACGTGTAGAGGAATCACGCCAGTCCATCTGGAACTTGGTGGTCATGGTCTATTATTGTGATGATACTGTAAGGGGAGGCCCTGCGGAAATAGCTTGATGCCAGAATGATAAAAAGCCGAACACCTCTTATATTACTTATAAATAAAAAAAGAGAAAAATTAAAGTTGTAAAGGCCGTCTTATTCCAAACCCCAATTATGGCATCTCTTCTCCCCATTCGCACCTTGCACACTTTTACATCCTGCAATGAAATGGCTGAGAAGAAAATTCTTTTTGAAGGTACCGGTGAACAGATCTAGATCCCTTATATGAGTATAAACATGCTAACTCTGAGACACATGTCTTGAATATCTTGGTCCTTCGAACAATTGGGTGCTGTTAGCAAAAAGACCTATGCTGATGTATTGTTAGGGTCCTTCGTTTCTTAGCTTTCTGACTTGCCTACAATGGTTAAGATGTACCACTTTGATAAGCTGAAAAGTGACAATTTCCATCTTTTTGCAGCATTGAGTGGAGATTTGATTCAATCAATAGTTCTGTTATCCATCCACAACCATACTTTCGCTCTCATCAACAAAAAAGCATCATAATTCTAGGCTCATTTTTCATGAAATCAAATTGAGCAGTTTGACCAGCCATGGTGTCAGAGTTGTGTTATTGATACAGACAAGGCTTGCAGTGACATTTTTTATATGTCACATGACCATAGTTATATAGGGAGTAATGAAGCGGAGTGAGTATAGTTTTCATTGGTTTTGTTTTTCTATACAGATATCTGGTAGGAGCGAGTATAGTTTTTCAACAGGGATTGCTGATTAGGTCTGATATGTTGGAGAGGAAAAGTGGGTCACACTTGGGTCAGGCTTTTAATTTAATCATTTCTTGCATTAAAGTAAGACGTTTATAGAGATCTGACGTATTTGGCTTGAGATTACCCAAAGAGATTATATAATATTGTGTTGGATAGAGTTTAACTCATATGCAGTGGGATGTGATTTTTTTAAGGATGTTTATGTAGATCTTTTGGATAGTTCAAGTCTATCCATATTTGTTTTCCTTTTTTGAATGATAGTTAAACAAGAAATACCAACTATCCACATTTGTTAAAAATTTATATAAAACAAGAACACATACTGATTTGGTACTGGACATATTTACTTAGTCCATCAGCAGACACCAACTTCTGATATCGGTCCTTTATTATGATGTGTATCATATTTCATTATAAACTAGTTGCAACTTGATACTAGAATCATCAATTTCTCTTGAATATAGTTGCTGTATCGCCCCAAGAAACATACAACAAAATACATGATAGCAGCCACAATCTTCTAATGATTTTATCACTGTAGCTTCTATGTTTTATATTTTAGAGAGACACAATTCCTACCTCCAAAAAACTTATTGATAAAAAATATGACCAAACAATATATTTTAGCAAAACTTGAGCATCATTTGACATCCATTAACTCCAAAAGGAAAAAGTCCAAGTAGCGGTAAAAGAAAACATCTTGATTCTTTCAAGCGTAGTAAATAAAACAATATGCTGTGGTATCGTCTTCTTAAGCATCTAGATAAAGTACTAGCTTCATAAATCTAAACGAAACAGGAAGTTAAAAAAAAGTCAGTACACTCTACTCTGTCAATGAGTCTTCATTATAATCTGAAAATCTTTTTGTGGTAAGCTGAACAGCTCAACAGTGGTATAAGCATCATTTGTGAAGGCAAACATGCTAGAAAACTATTAGAATCCTGGATTATCTTACATAAGATCTTGGATGTGCAAGTATGTTTCTAGCAAGTATGTTTTGTAGAGAAGCCTAGCCTAAGATAATTATAGTGATATTAATTATATTTCTGGTGAACCTGAGAAATGGTGGGCATGTCAGGGTCTTTCTGGATAGTCCTCACAAAATATGTTACAGTACACCATTTCTTCCATTGGCTAATCTTCACAGGCTCACACTATGGTCCAAACTTACTATAGGTTTCCTGGTTTTTTTCAGAGGAGGAGAGAGAGTAATCATTCTACCTTAATTCTGCTAAATTTCTGATGGAAGTAAAATAAAAAGTTTGAGGATTTGGGGATAATTGCCCTGTCCATAAATTGGTGGATAAATCAACAAATATGAAGATTGGGAGGACATTTAAAGTAAATTTATTTTTTGAAGGGTATACAAATGAAAAAACCTTTTTTAACTTCAAAATAATGTATGGAAAAGTCTCGTGCATTGTAAAACTGTTGACCAAACATGCATATGAATACATATCTGCTATTACCAAACACAACCACTCAACAATTTAAAGTTGCAATTCCTAAGATTTATTCTCCTGAGATCCTAATGGCAGACCATATCATTGATACCTATACAGATAATTTGTAGCAGATTGGATGATTAAGCTCCCAAATCTCTAAACTTCTTGGTCGTGGTGCAGTTAAAAGCATCTTTTAATATTTTTTGCAATTTATAATTTTATTCTCGGTAGTTTTCTTAAATTTTATAATTTTTGGACATCTTTAAACCATGGTATAACGTTAATTATTCATAGTTTTATAGTAACAAGCTGTCATAGACAATCTATATAGGTTTTTTCCCTAAGTTTTATTATTTAACTACTATTAGCAATTTTACTCTTAATATTTTATATAAATTGTTAATCTAAGAGTTATATTGTTAAGCAGAAATTGTGTTTATAAATAATTCTCCAATGAACCAGGGAATTTCCTTGATAATCCCAAATCGGCAATTCGTAACCGAGGTTTTCTTTAATTTGCGTTTATAAATATGTTCCGTAAACGTATTTCTTCATGTCCTTTCTCGAGCAGTATGGAAATAACTATTTTCTCCTTACTGTTCTACCTTCTTTGGTCAATTTCTAACCATCTTTGACCAGTGGTAACCTTATATCATGTAAGTTACAAATTGTGGAAGAGACTTAAAGGCAATAACCACTTCTCTCTGATTTGTTTTCTCTTCCTTTTCCTTTCTTTCTGTACTCCTGACCACACAAATTGCTGCACCTTACTTTTTACTCAGTTTTTCTAGCGGGTGTGGTATATATAAGAACTTAACCAATGATAGTAACATGATTTGATTGGACTATTTTGTGTGGAACTCTTCTGTTTTCGTACAAGTCAGGTCACCACTATTTACTTATCAACTAAGTTGCATGAAAACGAGTACAGGGACATGGATACGTGCGTACGTACGTACATATTGAGATTAATAATTTAGATGAGATCATAATTGTTTTTCTATTCACGTGTTTCTAGAATTAAAATTCCTATCATGTTTTTAAGTTTCTTTTATTATGTTTATTATAAATTGGAAGCTACTCATATTTAAACTAGACACCCAATCGACCCTATTATGCTGAAATGAACCCAACCTATGTCTAGCGAGTTTCGAGAAATGGATGTGAGCATTGTGAAGTGTAAGATATATGTCTAAGAAGTGTTTGGCAAGTATTATAAATTAAAACATATATCATACAATCAAGGTTTTAAATATCGGTTATCGGGGATTTATCGGACGACCAAAATCCTTATCGGATAGCGGAAATCGGGGATATATCGGGGATAAATAGTATTTATCGGAGTGATATACTGGATGATGTGTATATATAATATAACAATTAAAAAATATAATCTAATCATGCTTAATAAAATATAAACATACCAAAATGTAAATCATCATGTTTAGAATCATTAACCAATTGTAGAAAGCGAAACTTGCATCATAGCCTTGAAAAAAATATAATGTTAGTCAAAATGAGCCGATAATCCCGATAATCCCGATAAAAAGGTCTTACTTATCGGCCGATAAGTGCCGATAACGCCGATAAATCGCCGATAAACCTAGAAAAACGATAACTGATTAAAAATCCAATTTATCCTAGCGGAGAGCTCCCAAATCCGATAACTCGGCCGATAATATCGATTATCGGCCGATATTTAAAACAATGCATACAATTGACGACGTCTGAATAAATGAATGCATATATCCGAGAAGTGTCCATCCAGATTACGTGTTGGGTATGGGTACATCTTGATGATAGAAGTATCTGAGTAACATAGCTTATCAACTTGTAGATTTGTACCTTTTCAATCCACTTAAAGTGCTAAAAATATAATTAATTTTATATACCTTTAGCTTTATCATTCACACAATTGTTTAAAATCCTGAGTATATTAAATCAAATATATTACAATATTATAATTAATACTAACTCTTCAGTTGCTAAAGCAGTTATTGACTACTTGAAAAGAACTTATGATCAGCCAACGTATCCTTACGGACCTTACCAACTGCTACCAGCTGTTCAAGTTCTGTAACAGTTTCTTTTTTTCCTTTTCTTTTCATTTCGCATAGTCACATACTGACCCAGATAACTCTGCGCTGGAAAATCTGCAACGAAGCTTACTGTTCTGCAAGTATACTAAGAGTTAACTTTATGGTTTAAATGCAGTGTTATCATTAGTTACAACACAAAGATCTTCATATATTTTCCTCATAAATCTTTCTGGAAATTTCATTGCATATGAGAGCTTGAGACTAAATTTCATTTCTGTAGCTTTTTATGATGCTGAGGTGTAACACAGTTTTTCAAAGCTTACCTTTTTCCTGTTTATTTTTCCACTATGACATGATTTGCTATGATCCTTTAACAATTCATATATGATGCTTGTTGACAAATACTGAATGAAGTTGTACTGTCTGCAACTTTAGGTTGGCAGAAGGACCCTCACATGGAAGACACTCTAGTGCAAGTGGCGACCGTTCTACTGACAGCATCCCTATTCAAAGTGCTCAAAATAAGAAACATGATAAATGCCAGAAAGGAAGGCCAACCAGTAGCATGGAAGCTGATCAAACTCCTAAATTTTCACTTGCAATGGCAGCTGACACAGCTGGGGATCTGAGCATAGGACAGAAGGATGGTGAACATGATGACATGCTTGCTTTAGGTGATAGTATCGAAGTAGAAGAGGAGGAAACTTCAGACATTCGAATTTCAGGCGAAACTCTTGGTGAAGATAACATCGGTCATTCTTCCAAGAAGCAAAAACGAAGCTCTCGAGTTGATCAAACTGCAGTTGAAGACCATGCTGCTGCTGATGATGATTTAAAGGTCACACGGAGTGACAACAGTAGAGCAAAATATGAAAGTAGCAATCAAAAGAGACGCCGAATAGCTGATGAAGAAATACAAGGTGGAAGATCAAAGAGAGATGGTGATATGAGAAGGCACCATGAAGAGGAAAACCCGTTCTATCAGAGAGATGATTATGGAAGAGAAGGTAGGCATGAGATGGGCAGGAGGCCTATGGATTTGGGAGGACGGGGAGCTATGTATAATTCGTATTCACATATAGATTGGGATTCTTATGCTGTACATCCTATTCGCGATAGGAGTGAACGCTTTGAGAGACCCCGAGAGGTGGGTGGTTCTTTTTGGCAGAGGAGGGAAGAAGACACACACAGAAGAAGGTTAGAAAATAAAGACATAAGATGGGAATATACTGAGGAAGCCGGGTCAAGGAATAGAAATAAAGTTAGGGTTAGTGACAGGATCAACAAAGATAATGATACCCACTTTACGAGAAGGTTGGATGATGGAGATTGGAGGGGGCATAATAGAGGGGGTTTAAGGCTGAGGGAAAATGATGATGTGAATCGTAGAGACAACGTAGATGATCGTCTATATTTGAGGAGAGAAAGAACTGAAAAGGAAGATTCCTTGCATGGTTACAGGGCCAGGGAGGATTCAAGCCGGCGGAAAAGGGAGAAAGATGGTAAACCTGAGCATAGGAGGAGGGAAGATGGTACTCAAAGGAGAAACAAAGCTGAAGATCGCCATTCTTCCCGCCGCCAAAGAGAGAGAGAAGATAGGCAGCAACTTAAACACTCTCATGAAGATTCCTTGCATCGAGAAAGAGAGGAAGGTCGGGGTATTTCTAGTAGTGGGCGGGCTATAGAAAACAAGCCATTAAGTGGGTGTGGAAGGAATAAGGGTAGTTCTAAACTTTTGGCATCTGACAAGGATTATCAGCATAAAGATAGAAAGCAGCATGCTGAGCAATCAAAGAGAGAAGATCAAGCTGAGGAAGAAAATGATTCACATAGCAATGGACTTGAAGATATACCTGTTCGTGAGAAGCACCATAATGAGGAAAGAAGCTTAAGTTCTTACAGTCAATGTCCTAGTTCTTCTGATAAACTGCAGATATCAAGGGAGAAGCACAAGGATACTGAAGGTAACATGCAAAATCCTGCAGTACGTGGTAAGAGGAAGCATGAAGACCAAAGTGCTCATCATGACAAGGTACTAATAATGGTCAAAGTTGAGTTATTATTATTGTTATTTTTGTTCTTGTTTTAGTTTTTGACTTGAGTAGGTATCATTTAAGGTGCTGGAGTATCTTGCAACCCTTCAGATATTATGTAGATACTCTGACACCTGTAAAGCTGATTCTATGTCGTTGCTAACAAATGCCCTTTTTTTTAGTAATCTGTACATGTTAGGCTTTACATGTCACAGTGATTTAATTGTATCATCTTGTTCTAGGAATTGTTTATAACCCTGTAATTAATTGAACAACATATCTTTCATTATCACCATAAGTTACGTCTAGAATACCTATCTTTTTTTGATAGGTTCCCATGCCAATTGGCCATTTAATTTGATGATTTCATGGACTTTATTTCTGTGAATGTCAGCCTTCTGATGTGTGTACCGAATTAGTGATGCAATCTTATATTAATCTGGGCGGATGACTGATCAAGACATTTATTATGATTCCTCCTACATACTACAGTAATTTAGGGAACAAGAAGCAGGCTACTTTGTAGGTTGAAATGAATGCTTTGCACTTCTAATATAAATTCAGATATATTAGTCTTCACGTCTTGGCCATAAGTACAAATTCTTACCACAAGCAAATTATGGTTTGATAAATGAATTTTTTTTATAGATTCATTGATTTGAGTGATTAAACCTATTTCAGGATAGCTCGAAAGGCATAAATGAACAAGGGGGCGGTCTTGCTTCGGATGATGAGAGCCAACATGAGTCAAAAAGGGGTCGTTCGAAAATCGAGCGCTGGGCCAGCCCCAAAGAGAGAGATTACAGTGCCACAAACAATGTACAGTTGTCTTCTTCCTCCATAACGAAAGAGGTCGAGAAAGTCACTGCTAGTGACATAGTGCCAATTGATGAATTGCCAATAAGCGAAGGTAATGATGACAAGTCTGGGGAGGATTTAGATCAACACCTGGACACCGTGGAGAAGCTTAAGAGGCAAAGCGAACGATTTAAGCTTCCTATGCTGGGTGATAAGGATGTGGCTTCTTTGAGAGGCGAAAGACCAAAGAATGATACACAACTAAAGCCTGAGCGCCCTCCTCGGAAGCGGAAATGGACAAGTAGCTGATTGAGAAGACGGGAATAAAATTTGTTTTTTATTGTGAGATCAACGGATGTCTCCTCGTTGCTGGATATATGCCTTGAAACCCCATGAAACGGGAATTGGTATTCTATTTATGCTGGTGTTCAACTTCCTCCTGATGGCGTTGTGAAATACACAGGATTTGTAATAGTTTAGCCTGATGCGGGGGCAAGTGGAACCTTGTATTTAGGAGGAGCCCTCAACCACGTAATATTGTGAGATTTATACGCAGGTATAGATGATCAAAAGGTGAAGTTCAAGTTTGAGGCAGATGGCTCGCTGGCTGGATGCATACTTGCAGCTTTGCCTTGATCTGCATTCAAATCATTGGCAGATGCCTGCTACCGGTAAGCTGCTGCTGTATCTGCAGTATAAAGTTGTGATTTTTTTTATTTAAAATCACTTCGTCTCTTTAGATGTTTGAAATGTAGAATTGAGCCGTCAATGGGCATGCAAGAGCTTCTGTATAAATATTCTATCTGCTTTTTTTTTAAAAAAAATAATTCTTCACAGGTGAAAAAAGATTATCATGGAGATGGAGAAACCCAGCTGGCAGAAACGAGAAGGGTGATTGTGGGTCTGAGGTTAAAGTCGATCTGGAGCAGTGAAGGAGATGCGTGTTGGCTCTTGATGGAAGCCTTTTTTTTGTACTGATGAAAAATGATGCTTTAGTAAAGGGTGATAAAATTGACAGTGTATTATAGTGCTAACTTTATGGGAGAGTTGGGATGTTGTATCCGACCCATGGGAAGGCGGGGAGAAGGGTTGGATGTTTACTGGATGTTTACAATATTCAACTGTCATACAAAAAGTATACTCTATATATAGGTTAAATACAATCATAACGTTCAAAATCATTTCTAGTAAGTTCCCTGTATGCTCTCAATAAAAGACGTCAAGATTTTGTGCACAAGGCCCCTATAACTTGCCAGCTTTAGGATTCTTGATTGATACGTTCTTTGCTCCTCAAAGAGAAACCCAATGGAATGTTTTTTCGCAAATAAGTTGTTTGAATTATTAAGTGATAATGATTTGTTTGATTATTTTAAGATTCCCAGTCCCAGACACATTGTATACTGCTCCACATTTTCTTTTGACGTGTTAAAAGCTTCAATAGTCCATATTTTGTTTAATACGCTATCAACCTCGTTACGTCAAGCATCAACTACCTCATACGCCAAAGCAAAACAACACCCTAATTTGAACTGAACATCATAAATTTACAGTACATTGCCGACCTGAAAATTCTAAATCTACACTAGTACAGCTAGCAAGCGCTAGCATCTTCACTTCCAACCCCTGCAAATTCTTCTAGCTCGTCAACATCATCAATGCCAGCATTGTCATCATCGTCAGTGTCAAAGGAGCGCTGATTGGAATCTGTCAAATTACCAGGTAACTTTTTTAAAAAATTGCTCGAACTTAAAAAATATATATCTACAGAATTTACAAAGAAAATTGAAAATACATTCCTTAAGCATGTTTAGATTGTTTACGGAAAAAAATCATATGTTGAAGTCAATATTTTCCAGATAAAGGAAGTGAATATAGAAACAACATACATGCAACTTTGTCCTTTCAGAATGCTTTCGTGCAGATTGCATCATTTTTGAATCAAATAGTTCTCCAACAGCCTTTATCCCAAATATTTGGCCGGAGATGCAAGATTTCCAGGCTTGGAATTACATTTCAAAAGAGAAGTTGAAAGAAATTCTTTTATTGCTCTTTTAGTGTAAATAATATAATCAGGTGAAAAAAATGGCCTAGGTACTTGAAAGTTTGTTTTAGCCAGCTCTGACTGCAGCATAGTGGTTCTATAGCTTGCATCATCCTAAACTTTACAAAGAAAACGATAGAACATGCATATTGAGCTACAGGACTTCTTACCACCGCATAAAGTAATTTCAAAGAATCCATTACCTAAAAAGTCCAAGAAAATGCTAATACTACACATAGAGAAGAAATATGAAGTAAAAGCCAAACTTTTTATAACACAAGGACTAGACGGCTACTGGGAATGCAATCAGACTAGTTAGAGCATGTACGGATTGATTTGACCCCGCATTGACCATCATGTGTCATTTGTTGGGTTTAAGGACCTCCTTGACCAATTCTTGGCCCGCTTAACAGTCGGGTTACCCATATCCTCCTTATCTAACTATTGGTGGGTTGGGTAAAAGCCTAGGCTACCCGAACACTTCGTTTTAGGTGCCATATACGTGTCCAAGACGTATCGGAAACAGATCCACCACAGGCATGCCATGGACACATGTGATTGAAGTGATTCAAAGCAAAATCCAATTTTCCCATCACTTATAACCTAAATTGGTTTCTTTGGTATATCAGGTTCAAAACCAATAAAATTTTGAACCTGAAAACCAAAATCCATCAATTCAAGAGTTGAAAAATACCCATAGTATCCCTTACGATCAAAACTAAACCCGATTCTACCTTTTCTTCTCCATTCCCACGTCATCTTCTTCAAACTCATAAAAGAAATGAAGGTCTCCATTCCCAATTGCTCGACGACGACGAAAGATCTTAATTCTTTTGTTTGGATTTTTTAATTCTTAGCTGTTATAGATAATAAAAGAAATACAAATGTTATATAGGTATTTTAATTTAATATTTGATGTAATGTAAATTATAAATATATAGCCGTGTCTGTCGTGTCCGCACAAGTACCCACACCCGTATCTCACATAAGACTCCCAAAGCGCTCCTCCATTTTGACCATCGTGGTTTGATTCTATGGACAACATAATCCTCAATCTCGCCATCATTACGAATGATTGATACCAAATAATGAAAGTGGTTACTTTGACGTATTTCTTGGCCATCAATATGTAACATAGACTCTTTTTTCTTTTTAGTTTTACTAAATATGCATTCCATGTATTATGTTTTTGTTATATTAATAGAAAATAAGACAAACATAATAGAAAATAAGACAAACATAATAGAAAATAATACAAACAATGATTAGGAAACAATGCATCAAGTATCAATGTCCACCAAAGACTTCAATAAAATAAAGCCACCAATGGAAGTCAAGAACTCCTGACAAAAGAATCTACCAGACCTTTATAAGGTGGCTGTCAATCAAGATGATGCACACCTCTGAGGTGCATCCAAACTCCTGGAAAAAAAATTTGCAAGAAAAGTCCAAATTATAGGACCTCAAAGGGCAGTTGGCAATTCCCTTACAGTTGGAAGAAGATGGAGATGGAGAAATAAGGATAGTAGCTATAGGGAAGTCATCCAAATCTACATTATAATATAAGACGAGCAACACGATGGATAATGCTTCAGAAAATGCACATCATTTAGTTTTACTTTTGAGATAAACTATAAGTATGTGATGCCCCAACTTTAGTCCCACGTAGGAAAATGAGAAGAGTTATAGAAGGTTCATAAGGCAACTCCTAAGGAGTCAAATGCAACTAGTGCCGACACTTTTTGGTGGGATCAAGCCAAACAACGAGTTGCATACAGTCGGTCCCACGGCTTACCGTGCGCCCATCTAGCTCAGGGCGCGACAAACGGTATCAGAGCAGTTAGCTAGCCAAAAGTGTGGATCTAAGCTATGGTGCCACCGCGTGACGTGAGAGCCACCTCTAGAATCCGTAGGAGCCACCTCTAGGATGCACATTGCTTGGTGGTGATCCTATGATGGGCCAATTGCAATACTGCGGCGAGGACGTCGCATATTTAAGGTGGGTTGATGGTGATTCCCCAACTTCAGTCCCACATGGGTAAATGAGAAGAATTATAGAGGGTTTATAAATTAAGTTTTTGGCAATGGATCAATCCAAACAACGAGTTGCATTCAATGGGTCCAACGGCTTACAGCGTGCCAAGGGGCTCGCGGGCTGGGGACGTGACAGGTCAATTACTGAGCAGGCTAATGACTGATGAATTAGTATTCGTAGTTTATTCTATGCAATAGGTGGAATTCTGCTCTTTTACCTTTCTTCAGATTTGTTATGCAATTGAATGTATTTTTCCTTGTATCCTTTCATTTTATGCTTGACATGATCAAAAAATCAAGCATACTACATGACATTGGCCAAAAAACAATAAGCAATGATTTTTGGAGACCTGCAGAATTCATAAATTTGTTACTCTGTATTGGTGTGTTGGCTTCTGCCTCAGTATTCAGCAGATATGGCAGCTCCAGAAACTGCAGCAAAGCCTCTGTCTGTGGGTTCCGATGATGACCTGTAAAATAGGCGAAAAATCAATTAAAATAAACTACAAACATATAGCTTGTAATCTTTACAATAGTTAAGATGGGCAGTACATCAAAACTTAATCACTTTAGAGGCCGTATAGAGAATATATATAAACATAACTTGATAAAGGTAAATAATCAAGTAAAAACTAGTCCACAAGTTAACAAAATTGCAATTGGCACATACACCCTGTCCAAGGCAGGAAAGAAGCTATAGAACTCTCTCTTTTTTTCATGTGCATAATTGCAAACTCTCCGTGAGAAATATCAATTCACAGAAAGGATACTTCTGTCTTCACCTAATACTCTTTGCTAGAGCTTCCACGGTCAAAAAAAGCAATCAGAGAAGATGGCTATTAACTACAAAATTAATGAAAAACCAGTTACGTGCTTTGGGCCACTAAGATCTCCAGCAATGATAGAATTGATATCAATAAATTAGGGTAGAAAAATTACGAGGAAAAAAGAAGAGCATGCATGCTTGATGCTTGTCAAGCTGATGCAAGGCATGAACAAAAAGATGGCGCAAACTAACAGAAGACTGAACTACGAAGTGACAATGTCCATGTCACAAACCTACTGTTTATTGTTTATTCACTCAAGCGTTTAGCATTCATATGCACTTATACAACAAAAAAAAAAACTAGTAGATATCTTGAAGACAACATCATCGAACAACTTAGCAACAATAGTTTAATAGCATTAGTGGATGTAGCTGTAAATTGATAACCATAAGATGGTGCATTAGTGGATGTAGGTGTAAATTAATAACAATAAGATGGTATCAAACACTAGTAGCAACTTAAACTTAATCCTAAAAAGCCCAGCATCCATACAATATCAAGATCTTAACTATTCTGCAACATAACAAATAGGGGACAGAACATTCAAGATTACCCAATACTGAATCACTGGAGAACGGCTGAGATGGATCAAAACATGGGACTGTTTGAACAAAATCAAAAGGTTTTTTCCCTCTCGCATTTAACTTATTCCTCACCCACTGAAGGTGATCTTCATTGTCAAGCTGTCTACTGCTGCATTTTATAGAAATTTTTTAAATTAACAACTTTTGGTAAAAAAATAAAAGATAAATCTTGGAAACAAAATAGTGCCTACCCCAGATGCACATATCTCCGAGTTGAAGGGAAGATACAATTAAATTTTCGTGTTATTGCAAGCCACTCTTCATCATACTGAATCTCATAAGGTCCTGGATCTGATTCAATTTCAACAACCTAAATATAGAGCAAGTAATACAGCACGCTTCGGACAAAATTAGCTGCATAGACTTACACTTTGTTACTTAAAAGAGTGCATATAAACGCCAATTACCTGGAGAAATCGACGTCCTGGAAGGCACTTATCAAGTGCAAGAAATTTGGTGACTGGTCCATCCTCCCCATGTTGGACGATAGCAGGAAATCTACAGTGAAGATGAGCAGAAAACCAATAATGTGGTTTCAATTGGTCCAATAACTCAGCAGCTGGTTTACTTCCTAAAGTTCTGGTCAGAACCTGGAAAATTATAGGAATATTATCATATTTACTACTTAATATAATTTCCAAAGAATTACAACACACGTTGCCCTCCGGCAATACAAAGTAGAAGGACAAATAGAGGAGGAAATAAAGTGAAAACTGGTGCACAGATAAAAACATCAAAACCCAAAACATTTCGCATGACGTACAAAAAAAAAGCTTAATTAAGTAAATCACGCGCAGATATAACATGCTACAACCATGAGTAATGACCTGAAACCGTATGATAAGAGAGCTAAATTTCTCTACAGATTAACCCATGTTGTGATCTGTCATTCCTAGTAAGGGCCCGCTTTCACTAAATGCCTTGTTACAGAATTTTGCACGAATTTACAGTATACGTGACAGGTTAGACAGCTGATCGAAATTTATGATTATTCTCTGGCAATTTATAGACTTTAGGCTGTTTTCTAATGTCCGTGAGGATGATGTGCTGGTTTCAACAACTTAGATGTTCTACAGGAAACTCTTATGTGAAAAGGCTTGGATAATACTGAAATTATGACAGTGTCTAAGCAAGAACTCAAACTCCATTCTAATTAAATAATAAAAAGATGAACATAATTTTCTAACATAGAAAGAACAATAAAATTCTGAGGATAATATTCTATACGCGAGGATACAAATTTTCATGCTCTTAATTTTTTATAGGATAATTATTATGACTCCCTTCAAGTTTGACAATTTGTTGACAGACTCCCTACCATTATCTTTTTATTACAAAACCCGCTGACATTAAAAAAAACTGTTAAGTTCCATTTCAAACAGCATGTGCAAGGCACACTTATTTTTTTCTCTCAAATACCCCTCAACAAGGCTTTTCTTCTTACTCCAAGTAATGCAAAACTCCCTCCCCCTCGCATCACATCAAATCCAGGCAACGGTAATCTCTTCAAAGTTCAAACCCTTTGGTTTTAGTTTCTACTTGGTGTAATTTGCTCGTTTCTGAAGCTTTCATGCTTTCTTTGTCATTTATGGGTGCTTTCTAGTGTGATGAGGTGCCATTGAGGTGTTGTTCTCAAAGAAAATAACTTATGTTAGTCATGCAAAATACATACTAAATGAAATGTTTCAATGAATATAACCAGCGTAGATTTGCAGTAAGTCTTAACTATATCCAGCGAAAGCATATTGTAATTAATTTAGATTAATAATTGCTGGATGATACACATAATTCAGTTTTATCATGGAGGAAAACTGCAGCATATTTTTATCATTAAGGAAAAGTGGGAGAGAATAGAAAATGTTAAGATGAAAGAGAGGGCAGATTTGGAATATAAATATGCATTGGACTAGTACATAATGAAACTTACAGTTTTTTAGAGACAGGAATTTTGTAATAAAAGGACAAGATATGTGGTTTCTTAATAAGTGGCAAAACTTGAGGTTTCATGATAATTAAGCCCTTTCTTATATATGTGAAGCTTGTGAAGCATAACAAGATCCAAACCATAACAAAGATATTTCACCTATAACAGCAAAAAGTAACCGGAAGAAGTCGTATTAGATTAAGATAGCCTTGAAATCTAGATCTTCTTGTTAAACGTAAACTGATTTATCAATAGATGACTAGAACTGTTTCAAAGACCCAGTATGCATTTTATTGCAGGCCTATTTTATCACTGATTGATTGATGCTAAAATCAGTTAACCTACAATGCGTCTTTTTAGAGGAATATGCTGAGATGGTTAAAGTGCTCCATGATCATCATTTGCATTCTGATCTAGGAGCAATTACCAAGGAATTGAAGAAAAGAGTTTCCATAACTTATTCACCTCAAGCCTAGATGAACCCATTGATTGGTTCCCTATTACTACGCTTCAATAGCAGGTCATATAACCTAATTATTAGTAGCTTAAGGACCATTAACCTGAGGTGCAAACGCGATTGAACATAGTAAATGGAGTGTTCGGATCCCCCCCCTGACATAAGCCCCTCAAATGTTCCGTAGTTTAATGTAGCCCCCTCTTAAGTAGAATTGGAAAGACTCCTTTAGCCATAATAGTTTTATATTTTAGCAGTT